TGTTGAAAAATACTGATTTCCTATCAGACAGATTTTATACATATATCAATACTGAAACAGTTACATGAGCCCTAAGCCTATTATTTGCCAAGCAAATAGTATTTGAAAGGACAATTTCATCTCTTTGAGAAGACGATTCACTCTTTCATTTAGCATCCTGTTTTGTAGATATTGATTGGACAAATGCATCATAAGCATGTCGAGTCATTGGTTTCTTTTGTGCAAGGCAGAAAAAAAATGTAACTATCTATAGCAATTACTGTCTTTTGGGTACTTTGTTGACGGCTTTTTCTACAGACCCTTATTTTCAGGCTATTCAGAGAATACAGCTGCTTGAAGAAGACAATTAAGCTAATGCACACTGAATGTGGTCTCTTTCAGCGCTGGGAGTATGGAACTCGTAGAGCATGCTAAAGATGTGAAACTTGCTTTCCTGACAGCCACAGGATTACACATGCTCTATGAAAAATAAACCACCCAGCACTGGAAGCAGGGTGGTACACAAGCCAAAACCATTTTCTTTAATAATGTATTATTCGTCAATACAGAAAGGCCATTCAGCTTTGAACAAGTGCATTCTTTTGTGCAAGTGAACTTTTGCCGATAGCTACTTTATACAAAGGGTTGTCTATGCTCATAATGGGTAAAAGCCAGCAACTCCACAAGCTTTTTAGAATGCCTTCCAAATAAGTTGGTAACTGCAATTACTTTAAAAAGTTATAGTATGACTAATTATTAAGAGAATGTGGCATCTGCATTCCAAAAAAACATGCCAGTCTCCAGGAGAACAAGCAATTCCAGTGGAAATATATTTGATTAAATTCTGTTTTGTCTATGATGGGAAATGGACTCCTAGAAATCAGATGCACTTTATTCAAATTCTGTGAAAAGCATTAACAGAGAATTTTTTTTTCTTTAAATTGAACACCTGCATCCAAGTCAATATAATGACAAAATGCCTGTTCGGGACGTTTCTGACTTTTGTAATACAGAAGCACATACTGTCAGGAAGAAATTAGGTCGGCACTGTCATGAGATGCCCACTCCGGATGAGCTCATGCTGTATTTAGTAGGGACATATGATTGCTTTTGTCAGCAGTTGGATAGTAGGGTGGTAAATATAAGGCTTAAAGTGTTGTAAATGCCCACTGTGCAGTTGGGTAGGAAGTGGTGCCTTAGAGCTTTCCATCCTGGCCTTTTGCCTTTTGCTGGCACTGTTGAACTGAAAGAGTGTCATATTCGCAGAGCTATCCAAGCTGGCAGAACCCCAGGCAAAGTTGGGCGGCAGAAACTTAATTGTAGAACTTGGCTTCACCAGCCTAAGGGATCCGACCACATTTCCACCATCAATATTGTCTCAAACAAATATCATATGCCAAGAGCTACATCATCACTAAATTGGTAATAAAAGGATAAAGTGGGAAGTGTGGGAGTAAACAACAGTTGTCAGAGAGAAGTAGCTTTTTTTTTAAGAATTAAAAAAATATATAAACAAGGCCTACCCAAAATTGCAGGTTGTACAAAACATCTAATTAGGTGAACTGTTGTAATTTGGGCATTTAAACTGCAGCTGTTTTCTCTTCCCTGCTGAGACTTCCTATTGCTTAGCCTTTAAGTACGCACATGGCATTGAGCAAATACACTAAATACACTACTTAAAATGATGATTTCCATTACAGAGTAGGGCACCGGATTGATAAACCAATCTTATTCATGCATGTAATTGTAACATGTAATTGTAATGGCAAGTCTATCAAGACAAATAGAGGAAGAAATTAATTGTTCTAGAAGTTGTCCCTGTGTTGTGTTCTTATGTGTTTTACTATAGTATTTTACAATAGCAAAACGGATAATTGTGAGACAGGGAATAAATTGTTCCTGTTAGAAGGGGGTTGTAAAGCAAAATGTCCAGGCACTTTCCTCACAAAATAAATATTGATTCACTAGGCTTAAAGGAGCTAAATCTTTTTTATTGCATACTGGATCGAACCATGTCGAGGTTTCATAAAGGGAAACTGACATTTGCTGATTTTTCACCAAGGTTTTAAAACCTTCAAGTAAACCACAGAGGAATTGAATTCAAGGAATCATAATTACTTCTGAATTGTTTACTTTAATTGTGAAACATTTCTGGAATCTTCCCCTGAGAAAAATGTCATTAAACCAGCTCTCTGAGATACTGAGATAAAATCTCCTCTTTTTTGCAACCTTACCATACGTGCCCTATAAGAAACTGCATGGAATGAAAATCAATAACACAGTAAAAATACTTAATACAGAACATAGTTTAGCTCAGTCGTCCAAGCCTTCATGAGAAATGATGCGTCGTGGTTCAGATATCATCACAAGGAGAGTTGGTATTTGGCATGGTCCATCATTGCACATGAACATCCTGAACGTATTGCCATGTCTCATAAATACACTAATGGTGCTTGTGACATCTGAAACTTGCTGTGATGTTCCAGCTTAAAGGATTGCATGGTACTGGATTATCATCATTAGATAATCTTGGCACCACTTTGAATGGGCTAGAAACTCTCTTGTTACAGACTTACAGGTGCATAGTACATCTGCCTAAATCCTGCACTTTGTAACCACAATTCAAGGAATTCATTGCCATACATACTGAGGCACAGTTCTTTTGAAAAATGTGTATGCTTTCAGTACATATAGTTTGTGAATCACAGATAATAACCAGATGATCTATATGGAAATGTACATTGTTAGGCATGTTTTCCTTTTGTATGCATACAGTATGTTTGGCTGACCAGTTAGCTCTATAGCTGGCCTGTCAAAAAAACAAGGACCAGTCTCTCCTGTATTGATGGTCCTTTTAGTTTGTACTTTTCACTTGACCACTAAACTCATTTAAATCACAAATCTCCTGGGTTGTTTGTACTGGTTTTCTGTTTTGTCACACTACATAATTTCTAAGAAAGCTCTCAATTAAAAATACCATGACATCTCACCAGTGCAGGGCACAGCGGAATGCTTGTGGATGTCGTTAGGAACAGGTAAGATGTGCTGGCTGTCTTGTGTTTTAAGACCACAGATACAGGGTATGAAATGGTGGCTAGGTCATAAGAAAGGGCTGGGACATTGTGGTTAGCCACAGAATGCTGCATTTTGCTAGAGCAATAATGTGACATGTCATGGAAAAAAAAGAAAAGGCTTTAATTTCCAAAGAAATTGGTTGAGTTGTTAAACCATAATTGGCAGTTTCTTTCAGAAAGTCTCCATGCTTAGCAGCCACTTTTATCCCTGTTCCCTGCTATATTTGTTAAAAAAGCATATCCTTGACATTTTATTTTATATTTGCCACGTTAGTGCTTTTCAATTAGCATGTGAAATTTGGTGAAGTTCCCAAACAAGACAAGCTGTGGCTATGCATAATCCTTCCCTATATTATGCATATAAAAATGAAACTCTTTGTGCTTCATTCTGATCAGTGTTTTTGACATACTGTTTACTGCATGTGTTTAAGGAACCTTACTAGAGGTTTGAGAAATGAGACCTGTGGAGAGAGACTTTTTAGTCTGACCCTTAGACAAGACAGGAGAGGCTTGCAGTTTACAAAATATCACTGGTGGATTAATTTTTTGCTTTACTTTCAGTTTTGATTTTCAAACTGTTCTAACTAGCAGGTTTATAGCTTATTTGGCAAGGTACTGATAATCATGAGCATAAATTGCATATACATCCAAAATCTGTACGCTGTTAAATTTGACATAGCAGAACATCACATGAAACCATTCACACACTTCTGTTTAGAGCTAGAACAGCACTCAAGCTTTTTTATGATACAGATAGTGTCTAATATACAAATGATTAATTTAATTGCATTTTTCTAGTGTACAAGTGTACATGTAGATGTGCATTACACTTAAAACAACTCTCATCTGTACTGCAGTTTCTCTTTTTTATGATAATGACTGATTTCATTTTGAGGGCCCTATGCAATTTAATAAAAGCAAAATTTATGTTCTGTTCCTTTAAAGGGGACAGGTTTTGTACAGACATGCTGCAAGCTGCAAATTATGGTACCTATTCATTTACATTTGAGCTTATGATTATATGTCTAGTATTTCAGTTAGCTGTCTGTGTACATGCCCTGGAACTTGTAGCACAGCAAGTTGTAAAGGAAACTTAGTAATGCCCAGTTTGCAAGCCTTCTCTTTTGCTGTTCTTTAAAATGAGCCAAATTTGAAGTTATTATTTCTCAGAAACAGAAGCTCAGGAATGAAGGAAATGCGTTATAAGCCTTTTGGAGCAGGTATGTGTTTTGTCTAAGCTCTGTTCAGCTCACTACACAAGTGAGAAAGTTTTCTACATAAACTTCATACATACATTTATGTAAATTAAATAAGAATTATGTCAACTATCTGACTGGCAATTTTATTTGTGTTGGTTTTCTGTCTATTCAATATTAAATGTAACTGTAGCTGCTGTAACTTTGAAATGCCTTTGTTGTGTTTTGATGAAAATGAAAAAATATTGTAGTTTTGATTTGTTATATAATTGTCTTCAGGGACTCTTATTGGATTATGTAAAGCATTTGTTTAACTTGTTCTTTTTCTCAGAAGATTTGCTGGCAATGTAGCAAACATTAGAAGCAGTATTGCAGTGCATGCCTATCACTCACAGCTGTTTTCAGGGCACAGAGAGGCAGTGCCACAGTGAGCTTCCTTTTTCATGACAAACTTATAGTTTAACACTGTATTTCATCTTCCTTTAAACCTACAATACATGATGTGTCAAAATAAAATATATGGGTGGAGATATAGGTCACACTGTGCCTAATAATGTGAAAAGTTTGTAAAATATGTAGGTAAATTTGTAGCATCTCAGATGAAACCTTGCAAATGTGGGAAAATTGTGCTACTTTTTTAGTAACTGGTCCTGAAACTTTATTTAATTTGAAAAATAAAGTAAAGCTACAGTATACAAGTAGGTGAAAGTGAATTTAATCAATCCATTGTTTTTGTCTCTTTGCAAAACAGAGATTCGTAACCAATTACTGGAACAATTCAAATGCCTGGAACAACAGTCAGAGGCTCGTATACAGTTGCTACAGGACCTGCAGGAGTTCTTTCGAAGAAAATCTGAGATTGAACTAGAGTATTCCAAGAGCCTGGAGAAACTCGCTGAACGATTCTCCTCCAAAATACGCAGCTCCAGAGAACATCACCAGTTCAAGTAAGTCAAATTATGTAGACTGGATCATGAGCCACACTGCCTGGCACAAATAGGTAAACCGTATCTTAAAATGTGTACTCAAGATAATTCCAGAATTTTCAATGCTCCTTCTCTTGTTTGTCTGTTTGCACAGTCAGATTCTAATGCTTTTGAAAGCTATTTTTGTTCTTTTCTCTTAATTAATATTGTTAATCTTTTGATATGTGACTATGTTAATTGATATTAAGGTATTAGATGTTAGAAACAGAAAGGCCCACTCACTCCAATGTTTCAGCAAAAGTAAAAGAAAAATCTGTAAATTTCAATATACTGTAGTACTTCTTACAATCTTGTTTAGACTGAAGACTCAGACCATGTAAAAGATTGTCCTTTGAGGCAGGGCAGTACAATAATGAGACCCACATAATAAATGAGTTGAACTTGAATCACGTAGATGACTAATTCACTGTTCTGCGATTATGCCAGAAATATATATTTTTTCACAATATACTGTATTTAATGTGCGTTGGTAGATGAGCTTAGTGCCATGCTAAAGTATTCAGCAGTTTACAGAGTCTGTTGTGCCAAAAACAGATTTTAACCATAGTATTTTAAACGAAAACAGGTTTTATTTTCCAGTGAACAAACAAAGACCAAAAGTCTAGTATAAATTTAGAAACTATGTTGCATCTCCAAGTGTATTGCACAAAAACAAACAATTTAAATGGCTTTTGGTTGTCCAGAGTGTTAAAGCTGTTCTTAAAGCAGTGGGGATTTACATGTATAATTGAGCACAGCTGTTTGAATACATGCAGTCTATGCTAGGATCCTCCAGCCAGGCATACTGTAGGAAGCTGCAGAAGACATAGCGGTGTGCCAAATCTCTTTCAGAAAATTGCCACTGAGTTCCCGAGTCCAACTCTGCTGCATTGAAAAAAATAACAGTACTCCCGAGAATTGCATTATCAGAAACAAATAGTTGTTTATGGCACAGAGATGCACAGGACTTTGACTAATGCTGTTGGTAAATTCTTCATTTTTGATTCCATTACAAAATGTAAGATGGAAGTTTAGCAACAGAAGGAAATGAATAAACCTATGTCTGAGAAAGTATAACTTTTTAAAAGAGAATTCCAGATAGGATCATGTTTTAGTATGATAATGGTAGAATACTGAAAGGTGTCGAGTGCTGGTGGTTGGAAAGGATTGACAGTGAAACATACTGTATATTCTTCTTTCTAAAGCCTAGACTTTCTAGAATTGTTGTCTTCTAAACATTAAAAATGAACTATACTAAAAAGGTAATACAAAATATGTTTCTGATTTTGTAATGTCCGCTTAAGATGACCTGTATTTATCAATAACTGCTGTATTATCTACGTGATATGTGAATATTGAAGTGCATTCGCCCCGGGCAGCAGCCGAAGAGCGCCTGGCTGGGGTACGCGGTGAGGGGCAGTGCAGCTGTCCCACAGTGAAACGGGCGTACAGTCTGGGGAGATCGCCTGTTTCTGTGTAAATAGTTCCCTGGTTCCGCAACTCTGGGTGTTACTCTCTCTTTTCTCTCTCTCGCTCTCACTCACTCACTCTCACTCACTTGGGGTGGAGCTGTGGCTCTGTGGCTGTGGATCTGCGCCTGTGACTGGAAGGTTGCCGGTTCAAATCCCGCGGCCGGCAGAGGAATCCTACTCCGTTGGGCCCTTAACCCTAACTGCTCCAGGGGCGCCGTACAATGGCAGACCCTGCGCTCTGACCCCAAGCTTCTCTCCCAGTCTGTGTGTCTGTGTCTCCATGGAGAAAAGCTGGGGTATGCGAAAAGACGAATTCCTAATGCAAGAAATTGTATAGGGCTAAGAAAGAAACATTATTATTATTATCATTACTCGCTCGCTCACTCTCTCTGGCAGGCTGTCTTGTGTGTTCCTCTGGGCGTGGGAGTCCTAGCTGGCAGGTGGTGACGGGGAAATAAATAAGGTGCCATTTTTAACTTCACAAGTCTGAGTCTCTGTGTTCGTCCTCACCGAACCCGAATTCATTGCATTGGTGTCAACAGTGGGATGGAAAAGCCCTTCGCCGAGGGTGGCGAATTAAGCGGGGGAGAGTGTAATGCATATGGCCACCATTGCAGGTAGTTCGAGCCGGCTTACCAGTGCGGTGACGTCACCGCCCTTCCCTGTGAATAGCAGGGACCGCAGCTGTCAGGCTGATGGGAGATTTCCCTTTAGCTCAAGTGGCTGGGTCCCTGTTGAGTGACGCCGGAGGCCCGGGTTCGAGTTCCCGACGATAGGGGGCTGACCTGAGGCGGCAGTGGTGAGGGCGCAGACCCATGTGATTATTAATTACAATATTATACGTGTTACAATATATGTTTATCATATTCTGTATATCTGTTGTAATTCTCAAATTTGTTGTTTGAAGTTGTAATATCAAACAAAAAATATTTTATGTGTTTGTAAAAAAGTATTTTTTAATTTTCTGATTGTTGTTTTTATTTTTTGCTTAGCAGACACCCTTATCCTTAATAACTTTCAAAATGTACAAGTACAGTGTGGTAACAGGCCTCCCATTTCTTATGGATTAAAGTGCAGAGTGGTCTCAGTGCCCCTCTCGTTAGGATTCTTTGTTGTCTGCATTAAATAGACAGCAGTTGGGGCCTGAGTAATAAGCTGGTTGTATAGATTCGAGAGGATTTTAGCAGCCTTGTAGAATCAGGCATTTAGCATGAATTTTAAGAAGACCATGGGTATTTCTTGCTCTGTACATACTGTTCTTTACTTCTGTTTCTCAGTTGTGCATGATAATGCATGCCGATAATAATACAGTATATAGTATATAATAATATAGCATGTAAAAATATATTTTAATAATAATATGTTACTTATTTTACTTCAGTGCTGCTATATCCCCCCAGTTTATTTAAACACACATAAGGCAATAATCTGTGATTTTGATTATGCATCTCGCCCATTAGCTGGATTAACCAGAACCACCTAATCTGTAAATATTCAATGCAATCCTGGTTTTATAGAGGGGCTTTTCGCACTAAACATCATGTGAATTCTACCACTTTTAATGTTAAAAATGCCTAACATGCACTTTGAGTCAGTTTCCTTTCTTTGGTTCTTCAAATCAGCTTAATTGACATGGTTTGAAGTTGAACAGATAAAGTCTCTAAAGAATTGGCACTTTTGAAGTATGTTCAGCATGACACAGACTAATCTCTGTTTTTTAGGTTCTGTTATTTTTGGTTAAGATGTGATAAACCTAACAGAAGTGAAAGAACATCTCATCTTACCATGGCCTGGTGCAATACTCAGTTCTGCTTTTCTTAGAAAACACAATTAGTTTTCTTTTTTGAATTCACCTCCAGCTGTTTACTCTTAAATGTTCTATAAAAAACACTTCCTAAGGTGTCAGTTACCAGTGTGTCAAGTACTGAAATGACTGTTAGTTTTACATGTAAATGACATTCTGTGTTTGTTTATATCTCTTCCTTAAACTATATTCTACTTATTGTACATGCTAGAAATTAGGTAGTACCTTGATATGGAAAATGGATACAAATTAAAAGGTGCCAGTTAAATGAGTCATTAGAGAGAATAAGCACTTAACAAATTCCAGAGCAGTTTTAATATTCCACTGCTGATTATATTATGAAAGGCAAAATGCTGTTCCTGATGTAAAAAATATTTCATAGATATAGTACAGTTCATAAGGAAGGGAAATTGCACTGAAAGAGAAACAAGTCATTCTGTAAATATAGATGGCTGTAAATAAAAATCTGGCTGGAAGGCTGTCGGTTCAAATCCCACAGCTGGCAGAGGAATCCTACTCCGTTGGGCCCCTGAGCAAGGCCCTTAACCCCAACTGCTCCAGGGGCACCATATAAATGGCTGACCCTGTGGAATCCTACTCCATTGGGCCCTTTACCCTAACTGCTCCAGGGGCGCTGTACAATGGCAGACCCTGCGCTCTGACCCCAAGCTTCTCTCCCTGTCTGTGTGTCTCATGTAGAGCAAGCTGGGGTATGTGAAAAGACAAATTCCTAAAGCAGGAAATTGTATATGGCTAATAAAGTGATCTCTCTCTTATTTATTAATTGAATTCATGAAGTGAATAGAGACTAGTGGCTAGCCTGTTGTAGGAAAACAGAACCTATTAAATAATTCCAGGCAGCGTTTTACCTCAGGTGTGAAATAGTAACAGGATTGAGCTATTATTTCTCTCAATAAAACAAAAAACATTAATTGTTCATTTGTTACTTGTGCTTGAACTTCATTTTGAGAATACCAAGACCTCTTTCTCTTGGTGGAAGCCTTTTTTATGTTCTTAAGTTCAACATAAGCATTCTTAAAAGTGCAAAACTACAAAAAAACAGTGCCTATTGTCCTTTCTCTTAGTAATTTGTGTTTTCTGCTTTCTGAGTTGTCTAGAAAAAAAAAATTTTAATGCCCCTTTCTTCTGTGCTGTAATGGAGTTTCCTGATAATTTAAATCTTAGTTTTCTCAACATGCCCTGTCCTAATCTGTGAAGCCCCTCCCCAAACTCCATTTCACTGTTGATCTTTCATACTGTATGTGTATGAAGACTATTGAAAAGAGATGATTGTCTGCAGTTTCACAGCCTCTTTAAAAAAGACATTCCTGGCTATGTGTACAGATCTTGTCCATTTAACCTGTTTCTCTGGGTGGTGAAGTGTTACAAAGAAATGAGCAAGTTAAGATACAGTGCATTTCAACAGTTTTTGTATTTATAGGGTATTGAGTACTTTCTTTTGCCTCATTAAATAAAAGTTCAAACTTTTAGTTGAACAAAAGAGTTGTTGTACTTTGTAACATTCGTTTGGACTTTTGTTGGCCAAAAAATAGAACATGTTAAAAAAAAATTGTAACTTATTGTAACCAGACTGAATCATTTAGGTTAATGCGTTATGTGTCACTGCTAAGGAGCGACCATGTATTGAATGCAACCCCTCATACTTTCATTTTTGTTTTCACTGAGTCAGCTAAGTGTTTCTGGCCTTAATGTGCAGCAGAAGTGCATTGCTGTGGAGCTTCTGTTTGAAAGCACAGCCATGTGAAGGAGTTAGCCACAGGAAATGTGTGCTAGTTTTGTTACTATAATGTGTGAAACCCGTGTGCGGTGTAATGTTCTATAGGTTTGAGGAAGCACTTTTGTTCACACTAATACCCTGTTTTTCTTTCTATGTCTCTCAGTCTCCCTTTGAGAAATTTGATGGGTATGAAACAGAGTCAAAGTGCTTTATTATGCTTTAAATGGTTTCATCCTCATACAGTATAAAACTAACCCCTTGTAGGAATGGGAGAAGCAGTTCACCATAGCTGCCTGACACAATATTGTTCACTAATTATTAATGTATGTTCATGAATAAGAAAATATGGTCACGAATGGCTCCCAGTAGAAAGCATAAGTTATTTATAGTTTTCCACAACTAGCTACTAGAAATAGCTGAGTGATAGCAACCTTCATATTCCTGCTGTTATTCATCTATGATGTGATTTACAGTACTGCACTGATTAATCAATTATCTTAGTATGTTGTAAATGAGGTGAAATGTATAAATTGCTTTATAGTCTGCCTTTTGCTTCATGCAATAACATGCCTAAAATGATTTCTCTGTGGAGAATGCTTATAGATGTGACGTATCCGACACTGGTCAGTAAGCCTTGAGCCAGACATCCAGTTTTCCACTAGATGATTGTTGTTTTTGAATTTGCTCTCCAGAGGAATGTGCCTCAGCCTCTTTCCAGGTTATTGACAGCAGTGGTTTTAATCTGTGCCATCCGTGTTATTTACTCAGTTTAATTATTTATATCCTTTTCCTTGACATCAGTAGCACGGGTAGTGAATTAGGGTCCTGAGCCAGATAACGCATGGCATGCAAGCTAAGTTTTGTACCTTGTGCCTGAGCTGGATGTTTGACAAGACCAAAATAGGCAGTGCCATCGCTGCACTGGCCTGAACATCCACAGCCAGCAGCCTGGTTCTTCAGTTTAGCGCAGCTTCCGCAGATGTTTAAGCGACTGACAGTGCGGAGCTTTGCAGCTGGATATCATCAAATTTTGGCAGGGGCCCTGCGATAAAAAAGAACAAGCTAAAAGTGCCCTAGATGCACAGATTACAGGCAGCATATTTAAGGAGCATATTTTAGCTGTGAAGTTGGCAACGTGCGAGTGTGTTTCTCCCTGGGTTTGATTATTGATGCCATCCTCTTTACTCGTGGGTTCAAAGAAATTCGGGAGACTTTGGCTGTCAAGATGAATCAAAGAACGCCCTAGGTTTCTCGGGATTTGCACTCATTTGCTCACACATTTGGTAAATGCATGCTTCTTGAGGAAGCCGAATAGATTAATATTACATTTGTTGCAATCAAATACATGTACATGTGAAATACAGTACATTACGAAAGCTCAAAATATCTTGAATGGCAGCTTCTTTCTGGGTTTCAGTGCATCCCAGGAAGTGTGTAACTTCTTTCTTGATTGCTCTATATGTACACAGCACTTCTGTTCTGAGACATTTTTATTTGGTTATTTGACTTCCAGCTAACAGCAAAATTGGTATTAAAGTTGGTATTATGTGTCCACAGAAAGTGAAAATCATATGATTGCAGCTTGGGGATATTAAGTAATTTCAAAATGGTTATTTTACAGTTTTTAGCAAACAGTTCAGGGATATTCAGAAAGGTAGATTTATATTATGAGATATTTTTTACACTGCAACATCCTGTTGTTTCAGAGGAGTCATTGTTCTCTAATGCCATTTTCCTCTGAGGTTATAAACTCACAGAAGCACATAGTGAATAACACAAAGAGGGCAGCAAGCATCTCATTTGAGTATGGGCTTTTTACTACACTGTATACTGTATTGTGAAAGAATGATGGCTTCTAAACCTTGAATGCCTCCATGGAGATATAGGAGTAGCTAACCTTATGTGCTAGATATCTTGTTAATAAGTATACTAGTGTTATTTTACTGGTCCTTTTATAAATTCACATAAAAGGATAAAAGTTTTCAGTTTAGCTTTAAAATAAAAAAGCTAAACCAGTAAAACCATATAGATTAGTATTGTATGAATTACTTTAAAATATATATAAATAAATTGCTCAGAGCAGATGTGATAATTATTATTATTTTTATGATTATTGTCACAGGCAGCTTCCACATTATTTGTAATTAAAAATAGAAAATAGGTCTATTAAGATATTGCTTGATATAGGCTAGCATTAGGGTATAAAGAATACAGAAGTATACAGATCTAAAAATGTAAAATACAAGTGCATGAATCTACCTGTAGTTGATGGGAGAGTAGTGTAGATTCACAGGGAGTTGTTTGATTTTGTGTAGTCCTAATATGTATACCTTGTTAGTCAAATCTTATTTATCACTTTGTATTGTAGTTGCTTAAAATAGCTTTGTAGCCGCAAGAAAACCATTTTATGTACAAATCAATATTGAATTTCAAAAGAATAAAGTAAGTAATTTGATGGCTTTGTTTCTATCAGAGTAAGCTGAATGTAGGTGATACCTTGATAAGTGTGGAATGCAAAAAATATTATTTTATTAAGTAAGATGCTTAATTACTTGGGAATGTAAGCATTCCTGAGCTGTAAGAGGTCTGTTTGCTTTCTTTGTGTTCTTCGGAACATACATTAGTGTTAAAGGTACAATACTTTGTATAATGGCAAGCAAAATCCATTATTATGCTGCTCATCTGACATTTTAAAGCCATTATCTAACCAGAAGAGATCTGGGATGGAAAAGTTCAAATCACATTTTGGACGTTTTAATGAAAGAAAAATCCCAAAGAAGTTAAAAATTTAAAATGTGCTCTTCCTTAAAAAAGATTTAGATAATTTTTTTTACGTATTTTTTCAGAGTAATAGCTCTCTAGGGTTTATTTAAAATTTACTAAGCTCATCTATACCAGTGGGAAGATTGCTAATTGAAACTGGCTTGATGCTGCTGCCAAGGTTTCATCTATGCATCTTTGAGTTTTGACTAAATGAGAGAAGAGATAAGACAGTGTTTTAGTAAATTCAGAATTTCGATCTTGCACTTTTCTTACTCACCTGGAATGTACAAAGATAATTAAGGGAAAATGTATCTTCATAGTGAAGTTGTTTTTCAGTAATGTATTTTAGAAGGACACTAATATTTGCTTCCATTCATCAACATGGGTCTTTTGAATTTACATTTAAGAAAACTGGTTGTAAGATAGTGGTATATTTATTTTCATGTCATGTCTACAACATAATCTAATTCCATGAAACAATAACTAATTTGTAGCTTTTGAATCTGTTGTTTTGTCAGTCACATGCTAATCTTAATCTTAAATTTAATGTTAACTTAATTTTTTAATAGAATCTTAATTAATGTCAGGGCTTTTAAGGCCCTTTTTTAATTTATAGGTTTAGGTGTGGTTTCTCTTGAAAAACATTAGTAAAATACTACTCTGTTTCCCTTTTTCAAGAAATCTAAAGAAATAGAGAGTCAGTTCAAGAGTTTATCTCTCTCCACTAGATGTTTATGGCTTTTACAGACCACAGATATGCCTCTGTTGCACAAAATATATGAATAACTGCTTTTATAAAACGGAAATAGCCTAGAACCCGATAAACAGAAGATGAAATAATGCTTTTGTTCAAGCCTTGAATGTTATTGATATTTTCTGTTTTGGGCTTTGCATTTTTATGTAGAGATAGTTAAATGAATTGCAGACAAGGGTAAATGAGCTTAGCTGTCTGGGTCTGTTAGATATTAAATTGATTTTAAATGTTTGACATTTCTTAAAACAGCAGAAGGAATTATTTTATTCTGTTCTTCCTTTTTTGAAATAATTGCATTCACTAACATTTTTTCCTCTAAAAGTCATTTAATTTGAAAACTGCATAGTTTTTTCATAGGAAAGTATTGATTCATATTTGTTTTATTTTCCAGGCAACCTTATCTAGGGGGATTTATCACCTTTACAAACTCTGACATTAAACTTGTAAATGCAGATGCAAAGAACCAAACGGATATTATTCCATGCAAGAGCAAGTACAATAATTCTAGTATAGACTAGTATATGTGATGTAGTACATAGTGCTAAACAAAGACAAAATCCGTAAATTAGGTTGCTAGTATCCTGACATAGCAAGCAGGCACGTGTAGTGCAGATACAAGCTAGTAATGTAGACCCCCTATTGGTTTGTGTTCCACATTTCCAGAGAATTAGTGCAACAAGTGTGTAACATTACCAAATTGAGAATTAAATTGAGTACAGCGTAACGTAAGAGCTGCTGAAGGATGCAGATGAGAGCTAAGAGATCACAGGTGCCAGTTTAACAGATGCATCTTGAGGAGGCACCAGAAGGTGACTGGGGACTGAGCAGTCCTCAATGCTGTAGGTGGTTCACTCCCCCACTGAGCAGTAAGGCTGAGGGAGTAGAAGAATGGATGGGGGTACAGATAAGAGAAACATATATTTTGGCATGACATTCAGGTGGCAAAGACAAAGTTTGAATGCGAGGAGCAATTATACAGTACAATCCCAGACCCTTCCAAATCTGGAAAACAGTTGTTCTGCGATGAGATTCTTCTGAAGCCTAAAACTGAAACCTTAATCAATAATCACATACCACTGACTGCACAATGTCTTTAAACCTGACCTTGTTTTGTAAAGCAGAGTTTGAGTCAAAATTGTGCTTGTTATGTGCAGTGAACTCCACCCGGATGGTGTGTAGGCATGTAGAGCTGTTATCTTGTCCACATTTGGCATGTTCTTGTTGTGAAAAAGCACTGTTCAGAAATATATCTCGGCTTTTTTTTTAACATCACGTGTATATGCACTCTGTATTTGTCTTGTCTGAAGTTTTGATTGCTGTGAACTTTTGCTCTGTTGCAGGAAGGACCAGCACCTCTTGTCCCCAGTGAACTGCTGGTACTTGGTCCTCAATCAGACAAGGCGAGAGAGCCGGGATCATGCCACTCTCAATGACATCTATATGAACAATGTGATCGTTCGGCTGTCTCAGATCAGCGAGGATGTAATCAGGTTGTTCAAAAAGGTCAGTTTAATTATTTGTATATTTTCATTTGTTCTTTTCCTATGTGCCACATAAAGTAAATTTAGACAGATTAACTTGTTTTTTGGAGATGTCATGGACTTAGTAAGGAAGAAAAGACGAGTACTATGTGTTAATTTGAAATATTTTGGCTCTTCACACCTAGAGCAGAACAATGAAAACAACTATGTCACTATTAATCTCCTTGGGAAGTTTTGTATTCCAATACAGTGATATTCATTCGGCTTCCCCACTCTGCAGCCAGGAAGAAAGCAAAGCAAGTGCATTGCAGAGATGTCTGAGGTCTTACCAAAACATTCTTCTGTGTTTGAAGTTACAGCAGTTATGTTTTCTGCAGGGGACTCCTGACATTTTCTCTCTTCCCACTTACCGTGTGTTATAGTACAAGAGCGCATACCCTCTTCCTGTAGTAGAAAAGGAATGTGCTCACAGTACTTACAGCAGTATTACACAAATCAGACATGAAGCCTTGGTTTAGCAAATGCTTACTCAAAGCAACACTCCTACAATTTTGAGGTCATTCAGACTCCTGAATACCTTTTGGATACATCTTGTTGCTTAGCCGCCTAATGCTGATAGCTGATTTCTTAGTGCTTGGGGCATTAAATATGAAAAAGTCTAATGAGCGGTTTGCTCTACAGTATATGCACATCACCCCACTCATGTTTGCTTATTTACTTTGTGTAAAGAAGTGTAGCCACTAGCTAGTTTAACCTCATATTTGTGATCTGTCTTGAATTACTGTATCTGAGCTATCTGGGATGTCTGTTACAGTAGTCTGCAATAGATAATCTGGAATTATTAGCTGTCTTTATGCTCTTACTAGTAAGTTATCTGAGTGTTTAATTTTGCATGCAGTGTTTTTTTTAATTAGCCACAGATTTTCTGTACTATTCCAATCACTCCTGTTTAGGAGAAAAAAAAACCTAGTTTCTGAATTTGTGAATTATAAAGGAGATAGTCTTCACACAGATAGTGTGGGCCTAAGTGGACCTGTTGTCTTTTTTTAATAGTTCCATCTGGACCCTAGGCTCCCTCATAATCTTCTCTGTTCCACACTTAAAAAGGTTCAGTTTCTGTTGGCACAGATTTTGTCTTTTCTTCCCAAGAGCTTCTAAATAAAATACTTTGGTGGAATAAACAGCAAGACAAAATAAATATGACTTCTAAATCTCTGGTTAAATATTTTTGATAAATACAATATACATTATACAGTATGTGGTATACATGCTGCACTTTTCAATATACTAGACTAAAATGACATTCTTATGGATACCCATAGAAAGAGGCATAGAAGTGTTTTCAAATTGTGCATTGTGCAAATGTTGAAATGTCATGGTTTATGAAAGGATATAGTTGCAAATACATATTTAAAGGCTGCTTTATTGCTGAAGCAATTTAAATGGCAAACCTGTATGTTTCTTCTCTTGGTTTTGCAATGTTTTTGCTTTTAACAATTAAAACTGAGCTTCAGAATGAGTCGAAATAAACACGTGGTGTAGGGTAATAATACAGATAAGGAAAAGGAGAAGTTAGTGTTGATATTGTTTTAAGATAAAGGGCTTTGTAGCCTTTTGAAACATCTTCTGTAGTTAACATTTTCTTTCATTTGATTTTAATTGATAAAATGAAAAAAGTAAAATGACTACATAATTTTATATTATTGTGTATTGTCACAGCTGTTGAAGATCTGTTTGCCAGTGGTTTTTAGTTTGGTGTAGGTTTATGTCTTTCATTCACTAAAAAAGTCAAAATTTTCACTTCACAAATATAAAATAACTTTAGAATAGGTCACTTGTTCTTCAGCTGATGGTAAATTCTGCTGGAATACTTTGGTTAAATAACCTTTGTTTCTGATAAATAACTGGTATATGTACAGTAGTTTTGTAGCACTGTCGCATTACAAACAAAGGCGGAAATGTCATATCCTGGAACTCAGTAAATTTGTTAAAGGAACAGAAAATTGCCCTCCCATCGTTTCCTTTTATGCCATTATAGTAGACACCCCGTAATGTAAAAAATGACAACAGCTTCAGCGATGCATACTGATTGCCATCTTTGGCTGCCAAGAATTTTCCACAACACGATTTTCTCGTCGTGCAATCTGTCAAATGCAATTTGATATTTGGATAAATAGCGTAAATTGACATGCTTGTTAGGAGTTTGAGGCATACAGACCCAGAGAGGAACAGGAGAGAGAGCCTGCTGGGAGTGTTTTGCAGCATTTGTCCTCCAGCTGTATGTTCGCAGTCTCTGGAGAGCAAGATGGAGCAGGAGAGCCTGAGTGAATCACAGGCTTCTGTTCCATAGGGAGCGGCTCAGTGCCTGGCGCAGAATGCTGATCAGCACTTTTGTTGGGCCTCTATATACGAAAAATGCTCCTTCTCGTATTGGGTTTGATGGAGCAGAAACTAAGGAAGAAATAGTCTCGAGTCTTTCCATTTTTTTAAGCGTCAGACGTTCCACTGGGCATAAATGAAATAGGTTATGGATTGATTTAACTGCAGATTGATGGTGTAAATTGAAAAGATCACTGAGAGTGTAACTTGAAACCTCTGTTAAGGGTGAAAAATATTTATGCCCAGTATATGCTAAACCAGCAAAAAAATGAATGCAATTTGATGTGATTGAGGGGGCCTTTTTCTAAGATTTTTTGAGATTTTAAGCTTTGAAATTAGCTCAGAAATATAATTTGCATGTTTATCTACATGAAGTATCTTTCTAGATTAAACAAATTTTGATATGCTTTTCAAAAGGAGTTTAACAATATTTTTTTTTCTTTTACATTCAGTGTTTGGTTTCAATAAATGATTGTACTTTATAAACTGTACAGGTGCTGCGCTATCCTATTCAACTTCAGTAACCTTTTAGTGATTCATTTCGATTGATAAAAAGCTTGCCTGGTGCTGACTGCAGAGGACTGCTGTTCTCCCTATTGATCAAATAATATTAAAGTCTACAGTGATTTATGTACTGACATAATTTACAGAAATAATTAACTCTGGTTCCTTGGATGAGCAGCTAGTTAGACAGAGGCCTAACTGAAAGGGTTCTCTTTCAGACAACCAAAATAAATTTAGAGTAACACAAGGATCCAATACCTGCTGAGCTGAAAGATTATGCATATGTACTGTATATTTATAGAAACTTAAAGAATCATTGATTTAGGAGTGGGGAAAAGATTCTGTTATCTTTAGAATAATTCAGTATATAATTCAGAATAATTCAGTATATCCTTCAACCACCTAAAAAATGTGCAGTGTTACTGTTATATTTTTATTGCTTAAATCATTTTTCAAAATTAAACCTAATTTCTACTTGATTTTAATATAGAATGTACGTTTAAGTTGTTGTTATTGTGTGATATAATACAAAACTTATTGTTTATTGTTTTTTACTGTTTTGTTTTTCATTGATGTGCATTTATACATTAATGTGCATACTGTGCATACTTCCAGTTCTAGCCAATTTCAGGATCTTTGCTCAGTATCAGAGCACAGGTGCTAGTGAGTAGTGAAAATGACATTTTTACCCTTTCCTTCACATTATTTGCACATACCTTCCTACTTCTGACCTTTTACTCTGCCTGTTGTGTCCTGAAAAAAAGACACTGACATTCATATATTATCCTTCATAACAAATGTGCAAAATCAATATGTTAGTTTTAAGAGTTATTTTGTAATCACATAGCTTAATAATTGTTGTTTACTTAATAATTAATAATTGTTGTTTACTTCCCCTATGGAAAACACAATTCAATGTAATGAGCTAGTAGAAGACTTTGTGAAGAGAAATGCATTTTCTCAACTGACTCTGTACCAGACTCCTGTAAATGCTGTTGACAAACCATGCAGTAAGTGCATATTGAATATTAATATGGAATTTTACAACTAAAGGGAAATTGTGGTAGCTGAGCATAAAAATAAGAGGAGCATAACATGTCTAATTGTCATAAACAATATTAATTTAGGAATATAAACATATTATATACTCTGTATGTGGCTTGTATTGGTAGTTTAAAAAATACACACCAGTCTTCCACTTTCTTCATAAGCATTTTAAGCATGAAAGTCTTTCATTCCATTACATATTGTGGTTATTTTGGAAAGTTTTTTAAGTGTACCTTATGACTATATTAAGTTTATATACTTAATAAAAAGTTATAGTGTTTTAACCTTTTCTATGAATACTTTCGCTTGTTATCACAGTACAAAAACACATACTTTTTAGAATTTGATTAATAGGGAATATAATATGGAATAATGTGTCTAAAGAAATTAATAACGATATAATTATATTCATATAGTTCAAATTATTACCGTAGTACACTTTCTATGTAAACATCTGCATCAATTTAACTCAATTGACATCAATTCAACTGCGATTACTTGGAAACATTTTCCAGTGGTCATTGTCAAGTGGCATGTTGGTGTAATGCCTTTGGCGTGTGACTCGCATAATGGAGGTTGGGGGTTCCAACCCAGCTCTTGGCATGAGTTTTCTTTTAACAAATAAACATTTATTTGAAAAACTAAAATAGTAAATATTATCGACACTATAATTAATTTGTTGGTATTTCTAAATATCATAACATGTTGAAAGTTAAGTGATTTATTAATAACTAATAATTTCAAACTGCTTGTATTTTAAAATTGTATTTTGTTCGGAGAGATTTGTCACTGTTTTCACAACCTTCAATTTATTAAATGTCTGTTTTTGAGACAGGGTGTTCCAGGACTCTGTTTAATTTCTGAAACTCCCTCTGTTTTCCATGTTTTAACCTTTTCTATGAATATTTGCGCTCATTTTATATTATAATATTTGCACAGTAAAAAAACTCATACTTTTTGGAATCTGCTAAATAGGGAATAAAATATGGAATCGCTTATCTAAAGAAATTAATAATGATATTAATTCAAAGATCTAAATATATGTATTTATATAGCTGGTAGTATTACTTTAATCCACTTTCTTTGTAAACA